TTTTTTCTTTTTGATTTTTTACCTGGATTACTGAGATGCATCAGGACATTCTAAAACATACTCTGGAAAAGTGGGTGGACCTCCACTCCTAGCTGCCTCACGTTGCACGCGTTTCGTACATCGGTCTCCTCAAACATTTCATCGTCGCTGCTCAGCTTTTGCCTCAGCCATTTCAGGGTTTTTATCTCACGACGAGACTTATCTGAGTGGCTCAGTGGGGAGCTGTCCAGCGTCCCACGATCTGGCCCACACATACTCTCTGGATCTCAACTGAGGCACAGTTAAAAGGTGTGGGGGCCCAGCTCGTGGGTGTTTGAGGGAGGGGGGGTGCATGGGTGTATGTGTGTGAGGGTGATGATGTCATCGGTTCTTCCTAGGGTTTTCTTTCCCCACCAGCTGATAAGCTGATAAGTTACTTGCATAAATACATAAAAGGGAAACTGAGAACCTGTTTCACAGGCAGTTCCTGGGGGCCAGTYGAATSTATTACATTGCTAAATGAATGGTGAATGAGCTTTTGCTAAAAGCAGCAGAGAGAAKTGCAATCTGTGTGTTTACAGAATATGATACCTGGCGTCCCCCTGGCTTTTGTTCAAAGAACAAGGGCAATTTTTGTTTATAAATGAGGATAAGACGAAGAACTGATGTGTATTTGAGTAATATTATTCATAAACTAAAGTTATAAATGATTCATCATCAGTTTCACACACGAACTGTCTGTCTGAAATAAGTTTTTTGAATTTTTCCTAAATCTTGTCTTTTCTCTCTGTGTTTGTGAGTTTTTCCGCAGGGCGAATGCTGTTCTCACCGGTGGGGGGGCTCCATTTCCACCAGGAACCAGCTGCGTTCCACCTCGTGCTAGCTTTTTCAATGGGCGTTTCCTGGGGGTCCTTTTGGGGGGACCCATCCCTCCCACATCTCACATTCCACCTTTGAGCAGACCGTGTTTTGTGGCTGCTCTCTCTCTCTCTCTCTCTCTCTCTCTCTCTCTGGGCGGGGTTTCTAAAACGCTACACCTTTGGCCCTTTTGTTTGGTGTGGTTTCTGATCACACACCCTCTGCCTTAATGAAATGACCTTAATGAAATGAAGAGAACAGAACTGTTTTTACACCCAAGGCTAAGTTAGCTTGGTGGGAGTGCTTTTTGCCACACTGTTTGCATTTTTCCCACCACCATGAAACTCAATATAAAATGCCCCTATCTGAAATACTGGACTAACGTTGTGCTCTTCTGACTGGCTTATTATTATGCATTTTAAATGTTTCACTGTTTTGCCTGCAATGCAATTATGTCTGTGCAATGTTTGAAATTTCCTGTTTTGTTTTTGTTTTTTTTTCTCAGGGATTGGTTGAAGCCCTGGGTAGCTGCGTTGGTATTTGGCTCCCCCTCCTGGGCAGTATCAGGGTTACCCCTGGTCCATTTCTGAGGCCCATCTCATAACATAATTTTAAAACACTTAGACACTTCTGGATGTTTGGGGTTGTGTTTTTTAATTTTATGGTTTGTTTTGGTTGTTTTGGTTTATGATTTTATAGTGTTTTGTCCTTCTGTGCAGCTTCCTAGTGAAGTTTAGGTGATTRTCAGCTGAGTCTCAAGGAGACTCCTCCCGAGACAGTCACATTTTTGTTTATTTGTTCCTTTCTGAGTTTGTGGTAAGCAGGGGAGGGGGTAYTCTGCTACCTCGAGCCTGGTACGCCACGAAGACATATTTGAGGGAGAATTCACCCRTCTGGGGTTTGCTGTTGGGGTCCGGGGAGCTGAGAGTTTCTGTCTAACAACGTCTATGTCATTCACAGAAGGACTAGATCAAAGCTTACTTTAGGATTTAGCTTAGGTGTAACAAGAGGGGGGGTTCCATTTCTTTTAGTTTAATTTATTTAGACTTTGGATTTAGCTTTTGTTTGTTATTTTTTGTTAAACTTTTGTTTTTTTGTGTTCTTCTCTTCATTGCACAAGCCAGCTCATGCCAGTAATCCATACATTTTGAGTTCATGCCTTATGGGCATTGTGGGTTTTGTTTTTTAGTGATTTTGAATTGCTTGGGGTGGAATAAAGTTTACCTGAATGGGGTGGGAACTGAATTTTGCACATTGTYCTAATTTGCATTACTTAAGGTCCATTTATTGACAAGTAGTTGTTATTAAGTTAAAACATTATCCAAGATAAGAGTCTGATGGAACATACTCGGCTAATGCCATCATATTTGAGGGGGGCAGAACTTGTGTTATGATACCTTGTCTAAGTTTTGGACTTTTGAGTTTTTTTAATTTCGACATGTTTTTCCTTCATCGATTCTTCTGATGTGTAATAATGTTCTATTTGTCTTTAAGCCTTATTCCTGTTGTGCCTTGCATTATTTGAATGTATATGTTTCTGGTCGTCATATAAATTGCACTGCTTTTCTTGTATTTGGTGTTGATTTTTGCATTTGTGTTCAGACATTTAATAATTATTCCTTTTGATTTGGTTTTGAGTATTATTTACTCAAGAGGAGGAATTGTTATGGACTAATTATTTATATCTGTTCTACCTTGACACTGTCCAGTAATCATATAGCTTATGATAACTACTTTCGGCTGTGTTAATCTGTTTGCCCCAGACGTCAAGACTCCAGCAATGCATGATCTCTCTTATTTTCGATAAGGTAGCTCTTGGGCTGAGAGCCCTGTTATTGGTTAGGTGGGTACAGTTGTTGAATTGTAATTGGTTATAAGCATGTCACATGATGTTATCATGATGTATATTATTGGCTGCTTTCCGCTGACGAGGCAGCCACGACTCAAAAGACTTCCTGATTGACGGTTTGCTTTGTTGTCGCTCAGAATTGAATCTTTTGATGACCATACACGCAGACTTTCTGTGCATTTATTCCAACGTGTTTCTGCATTCTTGGTAAATCATGCCAAGACATGTATATTAATATATCTTTATAACCATCCTTGTTTAACATTTTTTCTTCAATAGAATAACTACAGAATTGCAAAACTACACAAGAAAATGTGATGCGTTCATGCTGTTTGATGAAGGTATCTGATGCTGACCCACAGCTGGTACACTTTTCCACACTTTTAGTAGTGTTTTGCTAGCCTTTTGATATTTTGTTTAGCTAGCTTTATGTTATAGTTCCAGAATGATTACTGTACTGGCAAAATAATAGCCAACAAAAAGGACTGATTATGTAATAATGACATTTTTTTGATATTTTAACAAAAATATAATTAATAAATTAATGTAAAGTCATAGAGGTAATCTGTTCTGATTTGTGA